AATGATGATCCAGCATTTCTTTGATAAATACTTGATATCCAAACAACAAGCAAACTTTTATCAACAATCAAATTCATAACTAATAAAATTTTACATCAAAAAAATCCATGCAAAATTAAAGTTTCATAATTCTAGTATTTAGAAAAAGTCTATTTTGATACACATTTCTATAAAATAACAGAGCAAAATAGTGTTCCGTAAAATCTGGAATCACGCGTACCTGCAAAATTGAGTATAAACTATAAAATCCAATACTCTGCAATGCTAATACAATAAAAACATTATATTTCACTAATACAATAAAAACATTATACTTCATAAAAAATATATAAAATGTCAAAGAAAAGTTAAGACAACCAAAGTTTTGTTCATGATTTACCTTTAATGAACAATCATGAACAAAACTGATGCATGATGCAATGACTGCATGCATGATGAACTAACATTTTGCAAACACAACGAAACATTCGTAAAGTTATTTAAAGCTAATTTATTTTTATTTAGCTGTTCGTTTCTAGTATTCTTAGGAGCCAACTGTTTACATATCTCACTTTTCACTTTATTTATTTCAACTATAACTTTTTTTTCTTTTTGTTCAGGATGAACATTCAGTATTTCTTTTAATACTCATGAATAAAGTATAATCACAATCTTAATGATGTATTAACGATGTAAAATAATTTTATTTTAAAACATTAATATTATAAAGCATATCTAAACTGTTAAAAAAAAATTACTAATTATTTATGTAAATCTTCATATTATTTATTTTAAATATATAAGTTAATCTGCAGTTAAGCAGTGTGATGTTTTTTAGCTTGTTGCAAGACTTGTTTAAAATGGTGACTTTTTAATATAAACATAAAGAATATTTATTAGCATAAGTAGTCAGTACATAAATCGAATAGCTTGCTTATTAAGATAAGATAGATATAAATATATCCTTATTAAGATGGCTAACCATTGGTATATGAACGGCATCACCGGTGCAGTGGTACCGGTCATCAGCCAATAAACCATGGACCAAGCATGGAGAGTTTGCTGGTAATGCTTTCTGTCTCAAACGGAAGCACATGTTTTTTTTTATCTGTCTGCCTCATGTCTTATTATAAACCCTATTCAGCATACTGTTGATCATTACATGTTGGTATTTTGACGATAAGTCCTTCTCGCCACCGTTATGAAAGAATATTGTTTAACTCCTATTTTCCTCTTATGGGATTCCATGCAAGTACCACATATTAAACATGATACAAAATGTGCGTGGGTTCGCCTTTTTCACATACTGTAGGTGCAATCCACAGTGGAATCTTTTTTACTTGCGCCAATTATTTTTTTTACCTCTCTGATCGTAATGCAGCCATAGCTTACTAAGACAAGTCTTTTGTCATTGTGAAATATCCTATTGGCATCGAGCTGAGTTCTTACCTCTAGCAGGTTAACGTACGCACGTTGTACTTCCTTCAACCTTGCCTAATCTCTTCCAGAGGTGTGTCCCTAATAGCACCATTAAGAATCTTACAAACAGTTTTCTTCAATCTATAGCAATTTTGCAAAAATGAATATTTCCTCCATTTACGAAGATTCCTGTTAGGTCTAAAACCATCTGAAAACTCTTGATTCTCTTAAACCCCAGGCATGTCCTAAAATTCTAAAAATCCTGCTTTTTGTTTTACATCGATCAATTTTTCCACTGCAGTATGCAAAGGTCTATCAATGCGTTTAAGCAATCGCTTTAACAATTGCATAAAAAAATACAAGATAAAATTTTTCCAGATCCCCTTCAATTACATCTTGTTTAACTGGCACAATGGTAGGCTGTTCTTCATTAGTTTAATTCTATGTTAACATTTTAATCTTGTTAACATCAGTTACTATTTCAATTGAATTAGCTATATTATTTACAGCAGGCTGTAATTCTGTTTTCCTGCCTGTATTAAATAAGAGCGTTATTTGACTTTCAGCACTAGTTTGCAGCGCTTTTTACACCACTTCATTAATTTGTGCGCTTACTTTAGCAAGGATAGGTTTGTACTAACTATCCAAAAAGTGAATTTTCCTCACAGCCCCTGGAGTCTGCGTTGTAATACCTAGCACAGTAAAGTTCTCTGTATTCATTACCAAGATAGAAATTGCAATTTCCTTAACTGCCAGATTGGGCAGTTCTCTGTCTGTCCAAGCAAACTTAGTTTCATGCAACCCTTGAGTGCAACTCTGTACCTAGAATGATGTCTATCCATTGACATTCTTTTGCTGAAATAGATACTGATTTCCTTCCAGTAGCATTCTCCTTACAAAAAACTTCTAAATTGAATAAAGTTACTTGTTCTTATTAATGAATCTTTTATTTGATTTTCCACTGTCAATCAAGGCTTCTGCTTTATATTTGTCATTATTTGTAATTTTGTGGCAGACTTGTAAGACAGAATCGGCTGAAACTACGATGGTAGAACAAAAGTAATCCTCAGTTTAAATCCTCATTAATAAATATAGTTAGTTAGGAGATTCATTTCATTATTAGTATTCTTACAATTAAATGTTTTGAACCAATGTTCTTGCTGCATTTGATTTTTGGGTATTGTTGATGAAAAAAAGAAGCTAGCAACTACAGTTTTAGCATTTTTTTTAACGCTTCGGTCGCTTGAAAATATATATACTGTTTGCTTTTTTCTTGTTTTCTTAGTTTCACTTTTTATTATTTAGCCAATAATAAAAAATGAGAAGTTTTTTTTTTTTGTAAATGCAATGCATTTTAGTGAAGCTGCACTGAGCAGTGAACGCATTAGGGGTGAATAATAAGTTAAAAATAGTTGAGCAGAGTGAGATAAAAGTAAAAAGGGACAGATGTCCAGTGGAAAACACAGAGCCTCAAAGTGGAAAAATATTAAAAACTGATATCAGTAAGGTGTAGTAAAAAGTAAATAAGAATAATAAACAACAGTCAAGAAAAGTCATTAGTTGTTGTGCTACTAAATTGTTGTTAGAGTCCAGCGTAAATGTGATTTATAGATAGAATTGGTGATGGAGTAAAATTATTCGTTTTATAAGTAGTCACTATGTGATATGTATTATTAGGATGATAAACATACATTATAGATATAAGTGTCATGAACGTCTCAAGTACAGTATGGATTTGTGCCTTATGGTGCAGTGTGAACACATAAAGACCTCCAGCTTTTATCCGAGACTGGTATCCCAAAAGAAGTTCCACTCTGGGTCTACACCAGGGTATCTTTTTAAGGTATCCCATTGTGTTATCCCAAAAGGACTATTCTCAGAGTATCCAGTCAGGACGATTGCCACAGACTCCTGAATTGACACTGTGACCAGAGGACACTTAGCGGGGTTCAGTACAACTTGCAAACAATAGTAAGTAGTTTTTTGACATGAGTGTCTGTTAAGTGCAGTGGCTTGTCAGAGTCAATGAGAGTTGTGAACTGTTTTGAGTTCTTATAACTATGTGTGTAATGTAAGTAGTCAATGTAGTGTACATGTGTGTGATTACTTTTACTATTATAAAATAGTTGAAAACCTTTTTAATTGGTGTTACATAAAGTAGATGTGAGTACTGAGTCTAATAAACGTGTATCATTAAAAAATAGCATAAATAAATAACAAACTATTACATTTTGATAAACTAGAAATGTTAAGCAGAGCTATATCAATAGAGCAGCAATGACTAGTATATGTGTATTGCAACTAATAATCTGTATATATATTTTACAATTCATAATCTAAAATTATATAGAAATCATGTAATCTAACAGTTTAATGTGAGTGTTACATAAATGTGATTTGTATTTTGTATAATTGACAAGTTTAACTGTGCATGTCACGTGGCTGTAATGTATTCAGGAGCATCTGAAGTCGAGTGGAATTATTCGTTTTCAAAACAGTAAGCATGGCTGATTTTGTGTCATTTACAGTAACGAATTAATAATAAGAATACTATGATATAAGGAATATTTATAGAAGAAAACCAAAATAAACTTTAAAAAGAGTAGAGTAAAGTTTTAATTCAGGATGTGAGGTGTATGTGCATAAGCATATGTTTGTAACTGTTGTAAGTACTCTTCTTTGTAAGTTTTGTTAGATAAATAAATTTACCTCTGTTATATGTGGTTGTCAGGAAGATAGTCGTTGCTCCGCAGTCCACGCGGACATAAATACTTTTTGTAAATGCAATGCATTTTAGTGAAGCTGCACCGAGCAGTGAACGCCTTAGGGATGAATAATAAGTTAAAAAGAGTTTAGCAGAGTGAGATAAAAGTACAAAGGAACAGATGTCCAGTGGAAAACACAGAGCCTCAAAGTGGAAAATTTTTTTTTTTTTTAATTTTTTTTATTTTATTTTTTTTTAATTTTTTTTATTTATATTATTTATTTTTATTTTTTTTATTTTTTTTTTTATTTTTTCAAAATTTATTTATATTCTTTATTTTGATTGATCCTACCAACAAATTCATTTATACTGAGATCAATTCTTTGCTAATCAGTTAAGGTTTCATATGTAAATGCGATGTAGAATTCAGTGGGCATATTTACCCAAAAAGTATGATTTAAATTCTTTTTTTCATAAAAATCAGACTTGATTTAACAACATTTTGGTTATTAAAATTTATGCGTTGATTATTATATATATATATTTTTTTTATTTACAAAAATATGTGTTAAAAAAGTCTTGTAATTAATGATAAAAAGAAGATTTCTAATTTCATATTTGGCATGATTATGATATATGATATAGCGCCTTGTTTTATATTGTTGTAACAGGCTGATTGTAATGATTGTAAATTATAGAATATCTCATGGTAGACAGCAACATTATTCCTTTTGTCAATTTATTGTAATTATGGCCCTTTCTCTCCCTCCCCCCTCCTCCGTCAGACAGTCACATATTTTTAGAACAGCCCTCTCTAACAACTTTGATGTTATTTCTTAACTAACATAAGTATTAATATATTGACTATGTACTAAATAGACATTTTATTTTACATTAGCAAATGTGGTTCAACGCCCATTGGCTTCAAATCTTATTTCCCGAGTTGGCTATTTGATTAACGATAGATATGATCAATTTGGACGTCATCTTGGTTTAGATGTCTATGATCTTAGGAACATTAATCAAAACCATGCAACAGCTCAGGCAAAAGCGGTAGCTGTTATTGAAATGTGGATTGAGTCTAGAGGGAGACAATCATGGGTAGAGTTAAAAGAAAAGTTGATAACCTTTCGTTGTCTAGCAATAGTTCAAATTATTGAGAAAGAGTTTCCATTAGGTAAGTAACATGTTTATACTAATAAATACTCAAGTTTTTTAAAAAAATTTAGTTTTATTTTATTATAACATTCAATGCAAAATTTATTGTTTCTTTATAAAAATATAAACATTTTGCATAAAATACCTATTAATATTACCTTACTTATTTATTTTTTTTATTATTCAGTTTCATTTTATTTCTAATAATTTATATTTATTGAAAAAACATTGTTAATTGTTTTTATAATTTTTTAATTTTAATTTTTTTTTGCAGTTTCAAAGCCTGATAACTAGAGGTTAAGAAATTTTAAAACTTTGTCAGAAATTTTCAGTGTTTGTTCCTTAACCATAAAGATTTTAGATAAAATAATCAACTAAGAATAGTTTTATAAACTCTTATATCTCTTTTATTTTTAAGTATTGTGCCCTGTTTCTGATATTTTAATTATAATTTCATTCTTTAACGTGAAATGAATGATATTAATATAACGAAGGTATAAATAAAAAGTTATTAACTTTAAGACAAAATTGATTAAGAAACAGTGTTTCAAAATTTTTAATAAATTTTTTCAAATTTACCTCTTACCTCTGATTTTTTAAATTTGCTTTACTTATCATTAATTTATCGTTTTTTTTATGAAATATGTACAGAGCAGTTGACTCAATTCTATTATGATAACAGAATTAAATCAACTGCCCCTGCTCGTAACACTAAATTAAATCAACTGCCCCTGCCTTCGTAACACTAAAAGACCATAAACCAAATTTTCAAAACAAACTTTCTTGTAGGTTATTGGTTCCCTCAAAAAGTGAGATTGGACACGTATTCAAAATTAAAATAGACAAAATTAATAATATCCTTAGAGATAAATTAAATTTGCAAAAGTGGAAAAATGCAACTGATGTTTGTAAATTGATTCTCTGTAATCGAAAATAAAAATTAGTGTTCATTTATTCAATTTGACATTAATGATTTTTAGGCCTCAATAACTGCTAACATTTTAGATAAAGCAATTGAATTTCCAAAAAGCCACACAGTTATTTCTGAAGATACAATCCGTATAATAAAACATTGTAGAAAAACCTTACTTTATTTTAATAAGGAAACTAGGAAAAAAACAACATACATGACTGCTTTGACGTAACAATGGTCAGTTATGACGGAGCAGAAATTGTGAATTTGTTGGACTATACATTTTAGATTTATTAAGTAATGTAATCAATATAAATGATTTAGGCCTTTGTTGCAATGATAGTTTAATAGTAATGCGTCAAGAAAGTTTTTAATTTAATAATTTCAAAATCGAAATAAACATAAATTTTTAAATTTATGTTTATTTCGATTTTGAAAACCAATATTTTTAAAAATTTTTATATCTTTTGTAAATTTATCAAGCTGTAGACCAGATTTTTTATCTGGTCTACAGCTTGATAAATTTACAAAAGATATAAAATTTTTTAAAAATATTGATTTTCAAAATCGAAATAAACATAAATTTAAAAATTGTGAACTTTCTTGATGTCACATTAAACCTCTCAAAAAATTCATATAAGCTTTTCAAAAAACCAAACAATGAGTTATTTTATATTAATATTAACTCAAATCATTCATCCCAAAATCTAAAACAAATTCCGATTTTAATTAATAACGGACTAAACCAAAACTCCTCTATTGAAAATTTTTTCAATTCCTCTACACAAATATTTGAAGATGCCCTTAGAAATAGTGGTTTTGAAAATTTTAACTATAATTTGACCCTGAAAAAAAGAATACCAAAAAGCGATATAGAACTAGAAAAGTAATTTGTTTAAACCACCCATATTGTAAAAATAATTCCACTAACATAGATGTAATTATAATGTTTTTAAAATTGGTCATTAAGCATTTCCTGCCCTCTAGTAAATTGCATAAAATTTTTATTTTATTTTGTAATACAAATATGGAAAGAATTATAAAAGGTCACAATAAAGCTTTGTTAAACAAAAAAGAAATCCTAAATGAAAAAACTACAGAAAATTGTAACATAAAAGCATAAAAACATAAAAACAATTGTCCAATGAGTGGAAGTTGCTTATCAAAAAATGTGGTATATAAATGTGTTGTTTTCTCTAAAAATGTACCTGATAAACAATACATTGGCATAACAGAGAGTGAATGGAAAAAACATTTTTCCAAACATAAGTAATTTTTTCAAAAATAAAAAGCATTCAAAAGACACCATGTTGTAAAAATATAAATGGGAACTTAAAAAATCAAATTCCAAAAAACTGATGTTCAAGGAAAAACAAAAAGAATTTTAAGGAAGAATTTTAAAGGATTTTAAAAAATGACGAGTAACACGAAAATGAATTTTATTAAATGGCACAAGAAACGCTGGCTCTTTAGAGCAGTGCCCATTATAGTAGAAAAGAGAAAGAGAAGCAACATTACAACGATGTTATGTCAGCATAATCCACAAATTTGTGAAAATTTACAGTAGTTAAGACATTTGCGACTTCCTGTAATTTAATTTTGTTGGGTAAAATTTGAAGTTTAATAAATTTGATCATTCATTTCTGATGAGTCTTCATTGATGAAACACAGTGTAAAAGGGAAAAAAAATTTTGTTAAGAGATTTTCTACTAATTTAATTTTTATATATATATATATATATATATATATATATAATATATTATATATATATATATATAATATATATATATATATTTATATATATATACATATATATATATATATATATATATATATATTCATATATATATATATATATATATATATATATATATATATATATATTCATATATATATATATATATATATATATATATATATATATATATATATATATATATATATATATTTATTTATTTATATATATATTTATTTATTTATATATATATATTTATTATATATATATATATATATATATATATATATTATATATATATATATATATATATATATATATATATATATATATATATATATATATATATATATATATATATATATATATATATACATATATATATAAATGATTTTAAAAAAGCTTGCAATTTAAAGATTATAATTTTTGCAAACTTAAACTTGTTTCAGTCACATGGAAATATAAAAATACTTTTTAAAACTGAGAGTTTGAAAAAGTTTTATTTTGATATAAAAAAATTTGCAATACTAATATCTTTAGGATATCTTACCTCTGCTTTTCCTAATCTACATAAATGACATATTTTTATCTTCCAGTATATTGAACTTCATTTTTTTTTCAGATGATAAGCTTTTATTACCCACTCTAACATTATTACACTTTTGAAAACAGTAAATCAGGAACTTGAAGAGTTGAGCAATTGGTTTGAAGCAAACAAACTTTCTGTCAACATTGAGAAAAGTAGTTATATCTTTTTTCACAAAACCATACAATTCTGTATGGTTTTGTGAAAAAAGATATAATTACCAAACTACCATTAAAACTTCCAGATATTCTATTAGACAAAGTTAGACTAAATCAAGCATTCTCAGTTTAATTTCTCGGGGTGTTATTAGATGAACATATTAGCTGGTAAGTCCACATTAATATATTAAAAAACAAAATATCTAAAAACATTGAAGTTATGCATAAAACCAGATATATTTTAAATAATGTATGCCTTAAAAGTTTTTATTTTGCAAATATACATAGCTATACTAACTACTGCAATATTGCCTGGGCTAGTACCTACCATTCAAAACTAGATTTAATATATAAAAAACAAAAAAGAAGCATGCCGTATATTTACAAATGCAAATAGAAATGCTGATTCTAAACATTTAATGAGGGAACTGAGAGTTCTTAATATCTACAAACAAAATATATATTGCATTCTTCAGTTCATGTTTAAACTCAAAAATGATCTAGTCCCTGAAGTCTTCCATAACTATTTTCACCTTATTAATCACAAATATCAAACAAAATACTCTATCAAGAACTGCTATATTCTGAAAACCTTTTTAACACAATCTAAATTCTCAATATCCAGCAGAGGACCCCAATTGTGGAACTCATTTCTAACAAATAAAATAAAAACAATAAACTCATTCCAACATTTTAAATGCGTTGTAAAGCGACAGCTAGACCTCAACATTAATAAAAGAATCTCTTATTTTTAAAATTTTTTCTAAATTTAAATATTTTTTCCTTTTTCAATTTAAATCTTTCTTGAAATTCTTGAAATTCTATTATATTCCTTGCTTGGTTATTTAATGATCTTCATTGTAGAAAATTTAAAAAAAAAAAATCATGTTTTATAAATATTTTATTATATTTGTATTTGGTTTATATTTTGTTATACTTTGTCAACAACGAAAATGGGGCAAGATAATAAGACTATTGTCTTCTACTTGCTTCAGTCATATATTTCAAAGTAAAATGTTGTATATAATTATATTAATAATGACAAATAAAAAAATATATATTAAAAAAAAATCTTTAAATACTGATAAAACAAAATGGATACTTTACTATCCAAACTATAAAAGTTGATAGCATGGTTTTTTTATAGACTAGTCAAAAGCCTTTGTTTTTATAATTGATCATAATTTTTTTGCTTAAAAAACTTGAATGCAGGAAAAACTATAAGTTAGTTGAAAAAGCTTTCAGTTAATAAACTTCAGCTAGCGATTAGTATGCTGAAAACAAATAAGAGTGCAGGACTGGATGAACTTAACCGTGCTGTTGTAAAAGCAGTCTCAAATATTATAGAGAAACTTCTTTTTTATAATTTTTAATCTTTCTTAAAAAGACAGCATTTTTCCTGACCAAATAAAAATAGCAAAAATAATTCCAACATACAAAGTCAGCGGTGACTCAATAAAATCTAACTACAGACCAATTTATGTACTTTCTTGTTTTTCTAAAAACAAGGGCATATTATGCACAACAGACTGTACATCGTTCTCCTAAATAAGCAATAAGTGTCAACTCAAATTCCAAAGAAACCACAATATGCCTGTGAAAGCTTATGACTCCTGGATTCCAAAAATATAAAAAATCAAATCATCCTATTATGTCAGAGAAAGAAAATCACTTTTGAAAATTTTTATTTTGCACATATTCATAAAATGACAGCATTCTCAAAATTTTACATTTTTACAGCATATCTTAACATTCAAAAAGCTCTTTGAAAATAATAAAACCTACTTAACATAATAAAGAAACAAAAAATATGAAAATGTGAAAGTTTTTATGTTATAAAATTGGTAGTAATCCAAATAGGTAAAAGATCTCTTGGGTAAAATATTGCTTTTCTGAAAGTTTTTTCTAATAAGTTAACTC